GAGTGGGACAATGACCAAGGAGGATAGGAGAATTGATGCCTTTGAGCTGTGGTGCTGGAGAAGAGTATTGAGAGTACCATGGACTGCTAGGAAAACAGATTCATCCTGGAAATGGTTAAACTGGGTGGCTCCTTGGAGGCAAAGATTCTGAGGCTCTAACATACTTTGAACATGTTGTAAGGAGAGACGGCTTGGTAGGGTGGAGGGACAGCGCAGGAGAGGAAGGCCCTCTATGAGGTGGATTGATTCAGTGACTGGGGTAATTGGTATGGTTGTGACGGAGACGGTGTGATTGGCACAGGACAGAGCAGAGTTTAGGGCTGTTGTACATAGGGTCACTATGAGTCGCAAGCGACTAGATGGCACATAACAACAACAACAAAGAACAAATTTAAGCCTCCAGTTGCAATACTTAAGGATGCTATAGGCAGATTATGGTATATTCAGTTGGGAATGAAAAACATAGTCAAATGGTGTTGCAACCATAGTTAAAAAGACAATTTCAAGTTCTGTGCTGAAGTACAATGTTGAGAGTGATAGGATAGCACAAGTAAGATATGTAAATACTACTTTTACTCAAATATACACTCCTACAGCTAAAGCCAAAGAGGAAGACAGTTAAGATTTTTATAGTCTTACGATTTTAAATTTATCAAATATACAATCAAGATGCATTAATATTAACTAGTGATTGGAATGAAAAAGTTGGAAAAATTAAGAAGAAATGGTAGTCAGAAAATATGGACTTGGTGACAGAAATGAGGCTGGAAATAGAATAACGGAATTTTGTATGTTCAACGATTTATCCCTCACAAATACTATATATAACACTATCTATCTATCTAGATGCACACACACACACACACACACACACACACACATGTTGTTGTTAAGTGCCGTTGAGTTGGAGACGATTCATAGTGACCTATGAACAAAAGTCCTCAACACTTGTGTGACTTTCATCCATTCTCCAGGTTCATAGGGTTTCCTGAGGCAAGCTATTACAGAAGTGGATGACACTTGTTTTAATCGGGAAGCTCCACCAAACACTTTCTGCCAAATGCATTAATGCATTTGACACATTAGTGTCACAGTGTTCAGCTTCACAGCAACCACAAGTTACCTCTGTATGGCAAGGGGACACACCAGGGCTATACTACCTAGAAGAATGTTTGAACAAAAACAATGAAAAGCAAGCCCAAGGGCCACAGGACCAAGGGCCCATATATTAAGTAATATATAGAGATAGAGATATAGAGAGATATAAATATTACTGGTTTCTTTACAAAATTCTAATAAATTGTTTTCCAGAACAGATTCTTCCAATTTCCCTCACCCCCTAACCATCAAATTGTACAGTTCCATGATTAATTCCCTCTCCCCCTGCACAACACCTTCGTCCCTGTGCTTACACCCCCCCCCTTGGATTCTTACACTCATTCTACAATAACGGTTTTATACAATATTTATCGTTGTGGGACTGAGTTAGTTCACTCAGCGTAATGCTCTCCAGTCTCTCCCCAATCAGGTAATAATTTACAAAATCATTGCTCCTGTCTGCTGCATTGTATTCCATTGTGTAGAAATTCCATAATTTATCAATCCTTTCATTTGTGTTTGGACATCTGGGCTGCTTTCATGTTCTTGTGATTGTGAATAATGCTGCTATGAACATTGGTGTACAAGTCTTCGTTTATGCCTCAGTTCTTATTTTTTCACGGTATATTTCAAGTAGTGGAACAGTTGGGTCATATGGGAATTTCTATGTTCAGCTTTTGAGGAAGTCCCAAGCTGCCTTGCAGAACGGTTGTACTGTTTTACAATCCCAGCAGCACTTTATAAGAGTTCCTATCTCCCCACATCCTCTCCAACATTTATTACTTGTTGCCCTGTTAAACTTTGCCACTGTTACTGGAATGAGATGGTACCTCATGTGTGGTTGGCCTCCACAGACCCAACCTCTCACTAGGGAATTTTAAAGACACACCCTTAATTAAGTAGGCCTCCACCCTCCGTTCCTTGTTGGCCAAAAGGGGTGAAAGGTCATCTGACACTTGCTTGTGGAGGGGAAAAATACCAATATCGCAAGACTTCTTACCTTCATTTTAAACTCACCTCTTCAGAGAGAGCATCCTTGACCATCTAACCTAACATGTGTCTGCTGCTCTTTGCTGATTCGCTGCTCAGATCCTATTGTACCTGCAGCTGTTTTATTTGTTTGTGTGCTTTTTATTTTCTTCCACTGAGCTGGAAAGTCCCTGATTTCAGGGACCACCGCTTCCATAGACTATTAAGGTCCGAGTTCTTGGTCCGGCGCCTGCTAGGTGGACCTCTACAAATACAGTGGAGCAGTTCAAACCTCGGGGTCCTAGGCACCCTGTAGGCACTAGGTAAGGGACCTTGAAATTAACAAATGGCAGACTGGTACCAGGGGTCTGAGGCTGGAGGCTCCAGTTGCCCGCTGCAAACCAGTGCCTGCCCCCACAGTCGATTGTGCCCAGGGATGGTTTCCAAGGCGACAGCAAAGAGAGGGCGGGGCGGTGGAACATAGGGCAGAACCTTAGCCTGGGCTCCGCCCACCCCAGAGGCCACTTCACGTTCTTGAAGGGTTGCTGGGCAGGGGGCTCCGGCTGGGCGCACGAGGAGGGCGCATGCAGGGTCCTGGTGTCGCTGCACTGCTCCTGTCTCGGAATCAACTGGAAGCCGTGCGCTGGGGGTCTGCAACCGGGTATCAGCAACACAGCCACCCCTTATGCATTTGGCTTCAGAAGCTGCAGCCGCCTGGGGCTCCTACCGGTTCCCCAGCTCCGTGGGCGTGGACGCACTGTTCTGAGATCTGGTTGGCCCGGATGATGCCATGGCCTGGACCCGCCTCCGCCGGTCCCAAGTGGGCCAGCCTCGGCTTCCAGAACCAGGCCTTCAGCCCTGCGTCCTTGCGCCACACAGGTCTTGCTTTTCCGACACTCAGCAGCAGCGCCCGAGCCACAGGGAATTCCCACCGGGATCCCCACCCCTCCACACTCCGGCACAGCTTGGCTCTGCATGACCCCCAACCTCGGGAAGGTGAGACCCAGAGGGGCTCGCCTGCGCTGGGGCAGCAGGGGATTGGGCGGCTGTGAAGACTTTGAGGTGGGAGGAATGGAGCTCTGGTTGGAGGGTAGGGAAGGGGTTGAATGAGGGTAGGTAAAAGAAAAGGTGAAGAAGAGAGGGGCATGGGCATCGTGCAAGGGGAGGCATAAGCTGAGCCCCCAGGTGAGCTCCCAACTGCCCCCCCC